CTTTGACAGTCGATTTCAGCGAGTTTAGTGCCTGTTCAACTTCTTTTTCGCAAACAATAACCGAACAACCGTGCGTTGCACGTTTCGTTACTGTCCTATGGTGAGTTCAAGTCAAGTCAATTAAAGCTTTGTAATTAATAATAATAATAACTACTAATTAAACCGACAAAGGAACGAAAAACTTACAGCATGGTAGGGGGAAACAGATGATTTTAACAACGAAAAAGTATGCATGTAAAACAGAGCTGTACATTGCGATGAATCATATCGTTTAGGGTTTCTAGGACGAGTCTACCGGAACCAAGGTAGGTAATCTAGCTCTGCAAACGCTAATGGGGATTCCGCCGTGAAATGGGCTTATGGTAACTATAATTATCGGTGAGCATGCCGCATTGAGAAATAATATTTGGAGGTATGCGCAACGCGTCTCTCGAACAAATGGTTTTCTAACACAAAAACGATTTGGTTATTACCCGATTACAAATAGCCCAAACACTATACTTGACCTCAACATTGCACATTGCATTGACCCTCCAAGTTCGTGCACCTTCGCGATAATGACGACAGCTAAACATAATTCGTATTTTTACAGCCTCGATGCCTATCAGCTAGGTTTTGAAAAAAAGCTTAACAGGTGATGAGGATAATCGAACTCGCGAAATGGCAAATGTTTTCGTGCATGCTTTAGGCTGCCTTCAAAGTCAAGAAAATTTCGGTTAGTACTGCTATCACTTTCCTTGACAGTATTGAATCCTGAGTAACACCGGCTAAATGCGGAAAAACATTTTACACTGAAACCTGTGCAGAGTAGCCGGATTCGGTTGTAGCAAACCGTTGGTTGTCTTAACTGGACTCACCGCCGAGAATCAACCCATGTGCGCTTCACAGCAGTTGTACGCCCGAGCATTAGCCAAATTGATTCGGTAACTTATGAGCTTATTCGATTGAGGTAATTTTCGATGTGATCGTGGTTTCACATGCATGTTCCTGTTAGATTGGTTCAAGGTGATTCTATCTAAAAACTAATAGTACAATTTAACACAACATTTTTAGATAACCAACTTCTTCATCATTTGAAAGACAAAATTGTACACTGGCTGATTGGTTATAATACTGAACAATAGTTTGGAGGCAGCCATATCAATTTTACATTCGAGAATACTGTGACAGGGTTATGAGAAGGAGAATTATTTGCAAATGGTAAAGCACATTCTCTGGAAAACCACTTTGCAGATGATTTCGGAGAGCCATTTTGATAAAAAAAAACAGAACATCAAGATTGTCTGGTGCTTCTTAAGGGGCTAATCCAAGCTTGCTACTCTAAAGCCGTGATAACTGCTATCTATTCCTGTTCCAACGAAGCAGTGAAACAACTTAGATTTATTGGCTCCAGAAACTGTTTAAAACATAATGTTCTTTCTGGTAGCGGCTTGTAAGTTGAAGCTTCTTCACCAGCACTGTAAATATCACAGTCGGCATATCCATGGGTCAATTGTGATAACCCCGCTCGAAATTCGTCCACCGCATCACGTCAAAATTTGCAAGTTTTACCAAGAACGAAACCAACCTTTGGAGGACTTCAAGTTAATACCACCGTGCATTGACCTCAGCGGCCAACCACAGCAAGGTCGCACCATCAACTGTCTTAAACTTACCACTGGCTTACAGAAGGCATCTTTCCTGGGATGTATAAGTGTTGAAAAATTCCTCGATAATCGCTTTACTTTGTAAAAACTGTAAATAGTTTTCCTTGAAATGCCAAGTGGTTCTGTTAAATAACTCTGAGTTGCACCAGACCCATCAAACTTTTTCATTTTTTTATCTTTGACAGACAAGCGCATGCACATCGTCACGTATGGAATTTCTGGCATCGATGTGATTTCCTCACAAAGATTATCCGATTGGTGAATAACCTCATGTGTGAGTCGAACTAGGTGAACCGTCATCGGCTGAATGCGACATTGAAGGTTAGTTGGCCAATGGTCAACCTGTATATCGGTCAGTGACTAAGTGAGTATGGGGAGATGCGACACACCGAGAGGGTGACATTGCATAATGTTATATATACTGTATGGGTTTGCTGAAAAGTGGGAACATTAAAAATTGGATTTATGGATACGACGTGGAGGTTATCACAAAAGAAACAACGGAAAATGGTAGATGTCATCATCGGGACTTCACAGAAACAAAGAAAAAGCAACCCGAAAGCAAGGGTGATAGCACTTCACAAATCCAAAACTCTAGCAAATGAAATCAAAAGAAATGATGAAAATGAATGGTACATGTAAGTACAACACATGCTAGAGATCTTCCACTCTGGTTTTTAGGTAAACCCGGCTTGAATTAACGTTCAATTTCTGCAAGTCGGTAAACGGAAAACAGGTATTGTAGAGATCAGTCCTGACGGGCAAGCTTACTTTACAATTGACAACACATTTCTAAATGCTGAAAGGTAAGGATATAAGAATACCCTTAACATATTGCTTTTGAAGCGATGGTCAAAAAAAAACAGAAAACCTCTCGTGTTTAAAATTTTAAGCAATCCCAGTAAAGACGTGGAACTCCATATGGGAATGTCAGTGAACCTAATAAACATGAAATTACAGGCAAAACGAAGATGATTATGACGATAGAAAACACGTTCCAACAGAGGATTTCGTACTAACCAAAGTAAAACATTTCACTTCTTTTAGCCATTGTTCCACAACATCGGGGGGCGGAAACGTATCATCTCCATTCATTAAGTGATAGTCACCAGATGCGTGATCGACATTGTCAGAAAGAGTTCTATACTGACAGCGATAGTGATAATATCGCTTCAGATAGTGAGTGATCCATTCGCGTTGAAGAGTAGGCGAAGGACAATTGGAATAGTCAACTGGGTCGATACCTGACATAATAGCACAAGCGCACATGGGATATAAATGAAAATATTTCTTCAATTATTAGAATTATGCAGACAGAATGTACTTATAACTTAGTGCAAGTGTGAAGTATAAATAATCTATCGTTCAAAACTTAGTGTTGAGTGAATATTAGAATATCACAGGGGATATGGAGTGTGTGTGACAAAGTTATTCAAAATGGGTAAACACAGGAACACACCGGAAAACTCTCATTAACTCGTGGATACTACCAATCGAGCAGCTTAGTCACGGTCATTAGCTGTATTATGATGGGGTTTGAACCTTATGGTTCACGCGATCGAGCAGAAATGGTGTGACCGAGTTCGAAAAATTCGGGCTTGAAACGTTCCAGAAGTTACTATGATTCCCGGAGTAATGAATTATCAGAGGTGAGACTGATGCTGGTGAAACAGCGACCGAAAGAAATACCAGAATGAGAGAGCCGAACCATTTCTGACACGTAAGTTACTATAGCTAGAATGATGAACACTTTCCTTATGTGCACCCAGAAGAAATGCGTCTAAATGTAGGACGCACATTTTTCTCGATACTTAATCCTAATGAGAAAACTACACAGAGCACAATTATTTTAATCTCCACAAATCACGATGGCTGGGTCAGCCGTTACGCAGACACCCAGATAGGAGTCCGCAACGTGCAATTCTTCGCTGAGAAAATAATAGATGGTACAAGAATAAAAATGGTTAAGCCAAGAACTGTCATGCGGATGAGAAAACCATCACTGGGAGACTTTATCATTATTCTTACCCATTATACATATATACACATATATATATATATATATATCGGGAGAGAGACGCAGATCGAGACAGACAGATAGATAAACGGGTCTCCTATCACTATTGCTTATTGAATACGGAATTTCAGTCTTCATTTTGGAGCCTGAAAAAACTACCGGACTCAGTGTGCGATAGAGAATAAATTACAACTGAATGGTTTGATTTGGTCTTCACCCTGAATTGCAAGAAATACCACAGATCAACTTGCGAAAGCAACAGAAAAATAGTCTAGCCAAAATTAATTCCAAATTTCTCGCTGATGTTATGGTATGCAGCAACAGTTTGGTCAGTGTTGGTATATGATGTAGAGATTTTGTCATTACGGTAGCAGGATGAAAACAGATCATCGCTGTTCGAACACTGCTGCCTACGCCGCGTTGCACGAGTCTGATGGGGAAACCGGACGATTAGCATGGAGGTTGGACGCAGAGTTCTGGGTTATCGCGGTCGTCCACTGAAGCAAGTGGTCGACCTCCATAGATTACGCTGATGGAGACATGCGTTGCGCATGTCGCCAAAAAGGTTTCAACGGTGAGTGATGTTTGCTGAGATAGATAGTGGGTGGAGAAAAGTCAATCGTGGTCAATCTAAGACACATTATAATGGCTTGAAAGCCCTGACCAGGAGACTCGGTCATACAGATCGCGTGGGGATCCCTGGATGGGGACCTCGAGGTCATAGTAACCGGCGATTAGGGATATCGAGTGGTAAAGCTGAGTTTCTCAAGCAGTGGTGCTCGAGCATCTACTCAAGATTCTTTGAACCCGTCCATACGAATCATCGATCTTCCCTTGGAATTGGCTCTCAACGCTCCAATCTTCCTTCTGCTCTTTTATTCAAAGGGGCGTGCCAAAAGACAGCAATCAAAACTGGCGCACGAAAGTGCACTGTTAATGGTTGTAAAAAATGAACTGAATTCAATAACGAAGGGTGATCTCGTCCTAATCCACACTTTTCATAGGACAACTGAGGAAGCAATTCTTAGATTAGCTCGGGCGGCCTGTGAACAACTTAAAAACATGATGCGCGGTGTTGAATCATTTTTCTCCGTCTCCGCTTATTAGCATTCTGTCGGTCTCAGTCGCTTATTCATAGCATTAATCAAGCAAAGAGATTAACAATGGCTTTCATTGCTTGAGCACAATCTGTACGCCCACATGTTGACCTCTTTGTTCGATCCTTTGTCGACCTGCTTCCCAGTAATCCCCGTCGGTAACCACTTCTAGTTCATCTTCGGTCATGTGACCTTTAGCCACGACCGGTAGTCCTTTAACCTTGACGAAAACCTTCGGTCTTATCCATGTAGGCGAGTCAGATCTATGTCATAACAATGCAATATACGATCTAGACGAACGCCATCACCCTAACAAGGTATAAAGCAATGGTCACTCATTTCTGAAGGATAAGATTTATTCCGGTCAACTTCTCACTGGTATTTCCAAGAGGTGTTATTATTTTTCTCAAATACTACGCACTTGCTCGCTATAAACATTCACCAATGGCGCCCAAAGTCAAATTTAACATGGATAAATAAAGGCGGGAATTATTGAAAATTCATCTGGGATCGCGCTACCCACATCCAACAAGTGGACGAGGGATAGGTGTTTTTTAAACAGAATGTTATCAACAAGCTATATACAACATGAGGCAACCGAATAAAAGAAAACGTGCAATCACGTTGCTTTAGGAGCGCAGGTATATCACAAGTACTCTAAATTATTGGGAATGTATGGATTGTTTGACGTACCAGCATATTCACAAAAGTGGTTTGCAATATCAAAAGCGGCGTGATTGAACCCGCAGAACTCGTAATCAATGAACAACACACGGTCTGTAAGACATGAAGGGGCACAAAAGACGAGAACACCCACACGAGTGAGAACTGTATCTTAACATATAGATAAGGTATGTCGGAGGAAAATCCAACCAGGTTGACCAAATGACCAAATGAGTTTCTTACTTCTAACCCTGCAAATCAGAAAAAAGAGAAGACACGCACAAAAAATTTCCATTTCCAATTAGTATTAATATCTTGCAAGTCGTAAAAAACCCAACCTCTGAGGGCAATCAGATAATTCTCTCGCAGACAATCGACGTGTATGTCTACTAGTAAAAATACCTCTTTTTCCGTGATATACCTTTGTGTGATAAGCAGCAGAAGAGGTGGATTCTATAAAAACGAGAAGCAACTGTTCATTAATAGAAACTGCAAGCCTGAAACTTGGGACTTTGCGCGGTCAACTACATAAGATCCGAATGGGATAAGTGTGGTTGGTATAAGGCCATCATTGAACTGCAAAGCTGGGTGGCAGTGGACGGCATTGGATTTCGGAGCTAGAACCTAAAAGCGAACTAGGCCGTTTGAACGCCACTAATAGTCAGTCATAGCAACACAGTATATCAGTTGCGCTTTGCTATGAATCACAACGCGAGAAGTACATAGTTTGTCACGAACTTCCGAAAAACTTGAGAATACTAACTAAAAACATCCAATCGAATATGAAACCGCTGTAGCTTAAAGTAAGTCTGTGAAACAAGAATTATTAGGGAATGTCAGACCAGTGTTTTGGACATGACACGGTCTCTTAATAGACCGAGTCTAACACCATGGAAGGTTGCGCAAAACAGGCCGGTTGTCAATGCACTTGTTTCTATGTTCCCATGATGTACCTTCTTTGGTTCGCAATATCTCGGGAGGAACCAAACTAATTCGTACCAGTGTGAGAAAACAGTATTTAGTCTGTACTACAATGACACAGGAGGGAACCTAATTACAACAGCCATGCTGTGTTAGAGATCAGTTCCATGGATGAGCTGTTTCACAGCTCACCTCAATAACTCGGTGGAGCGGAGCTGTGGACCACTGAGCACATCCTCAGATCGCGGATAGGGGAACGACCGTCAGTTCGCCGCTAACCATGATTAAGATGGGATAGGCCTCACCACTAAGTAGTCGTCGACGATCAGCATCAGCGCTCGAATGTGGTGGGTTTACCTCCTAAAAACGGTTCTCTGTAGGAAACACCACAAATATCTGTGGATAGCGCTGTGAAGTGACGAGTGACCCGCCACTAGATATGGCCATTGCCCCTTGCCCAGATCCATTATTCGACAAGGTCTTCCGAAAACCGGCCCATCTGGAACATCTCTGCTGCCTAGAAGTCAGTGCCTAGTTGCGCAAAGGCTAGAGTGCACCCTCGAACAACGCCGAGTACTACATTAGCCCACAATGCACACAACCATGAACTTTCCTGAACTTATAACTCGGCACTCCAAAGCTCCCTCATCCACCAAAAACACTCTGCAACGTATACACTCATGTGTCCCCAGCCTACCACCATTTCACCTATACCCCCGTTACATACCTCCATCTCTCTCGGGTTATTCAAACGATTGCCATAACAATCATGCCTGGAAAAAAAACTCTCGCTGTTCTCTGGTGCCCTACCTCGACTACCGACCGAATCCAACTGAATCCTGCATCAGCTGAAACACTTATTCGCCCTCAGTGTTCCTCAAACTAGCCACTCTGTTGCCTATAGGACAACAGGTGTGTTTAGTTCGTACGATCGAGACCCTGGCCATCGATTTGTATTACATCTGAAAAACCGGCATTGAAGATTCCAGCTCCGTTACCCGATTTACGTCTAAATCAAAACAATCTGCTAAGTTTGACTTCCGTCTCTCTGGGGACCCTGAGGCTGCGTCATCCAGTCTTGCTGGCCTCGGCGTGGCTCTCAGTGAGAGACAGCTGAGACCGCCCTCCTGGATGGGATCCCAGTCAACAGTAGTTTGTACACAGTGAGACTCAGAGGTTCGTGAAAAGTAAGCAGCCGTCGCCACGATAGACGAAACTTCTTTGTAGTGTCGGCGTACGCTCCAAATGACTGCAGCGCAGATGCAGTCAAAGAAGAAATTTCCAAGAACGACACCACCGTTTGAGTAAACCGATCCGGGCTGATACCGCGATTTTAGCAGGAGATATAAATGCGAGAATAGGCCCCTTGACTTTGAGGGAGGCACATCCGGGAAGTCGTTTCAGAATAGATTCCCGTTGCTCGGAAAATGGGGAGCGGCTCGTGGCTCTATGTTCTGACCATCACCTATTCCTTGCCAGTACGAACTTCAGGAAATCCAACTGCCGGTACGCTGCTTGGCTTCCGCCCTCCTCGAGCCAGTGGCGAACGCAGATCGACCACATCGCAATAAGCCACAAATGGCAGGACTGTATTCAAGACTGCTGATCGTACAGGAGCACTGCCCTGGAATCCGAACACGCATTAGTATGCAACCAGAGGTCCACGTGCTTCGACGCATGACACAACGAAAGTTATACTGCGATAAACTGCCCAAGGTGGGTACATAAGATGCGAAAGAAATGTTCCACCGCTGAACCTGAATGTTTCATGAAAGTGTGAGTACTTTGTTTGAAGTTCATTTTGTATAACCCGATTTATGCTATTCAGTCCGGTATCCGTCTTTTGGATTTATAACACTGGCATCTTTTGATTTCGTGGATATTTCTAATCACTTCACAGTGAAACGGTTTGGCTCACGAGTGTACTGGATGTCTTTTAAGCCTCATGTTCAACGTTATTACGGGAGTGCTTCATGTGATCGATGAACATGATTACGGTTAAAATAAACCATTTCTCCGGTTTTTCGCAAGCTGCACACATTCAAACAATTAAACGATGTCGCCTGTATACCCCAAAGCAGGTAGGTTTTGCCCAACTGCTCTTTGAATACTTACTGTGGATATATCACCAACTTGAAGGCAAACATGGTAGCAGCGCCACGACAATAGAAACAGAACCAGGTAAAGGTCGATTGGCATACAGAACAGAGTGAAAAGAAGGATAAACAGTTACAAAGGAAAAT